GGGCCTATTTTTTTTTTTTTTCCCACAAAGGCACCCTTCATGTTTGGTTGAAATAATCCTTAAGCATGTAAATTTATAATTTCCTTCAGTTTAATTTAAATGTGCAGTTAAAATAAATAAAAATAAATGTATATTTTCAAGTTTAGAATTAGACAGCCTTGCGTTGTGTAGACAATTGCATAGTGAAAATTACCCCAACGCACCACCTAGTGTCCAGCCTACTCTAATACTATTATAACCTGTTTAAATGTGAACAAGGGATTTACAACATTAAAGAAATCCTTTATTTATAACATGTACATGAAAAATCTAAAAGATTAGACACAACTATGGGACACGGTCGTGCAGCAGCGAGCAACAGTGAAAAGAACCTCAAGGTTGTGAAATTGTATAGGGCCCCATTCCTGTATTTTGCCTGGGGCCCCCAAATCACTAAATCCGCCCCTGTGTAGAATACTAAATTTTTAAATGCTATCCCAGTTTCCTTCTTACCTATTAAAGGAAGGTGTGTAAGAGCAGCACTGAGGCCCTGTAGTCTACCAACCAGGGCTTGAAAATAGAAAAAAAAAAAAATCGGTACACTCCGAACAGAATCGATATTTTAACGTTCATGCGTTCTTCTGTATTATTACCGTTCCGAAACCGGTTTGAGTAGAGAAAATACTGCTTAATAACATTATTTTTAAAACTTTTTCTATGCCTTTAATAATAATAATAATAATAATAAAGGTACAGCATTTTCTTTACTCAAAAAGAAACAAAAACACAAAGTGAGTCTTGATCTGGTATCTTGCGTTTAGTCTTGATTTTGGCCAAATGTATTAAACGAAAGAAAAAACTGTCAATGCTTTAAAGACATTAAAGTATTTTTTCCACGATATTTAAAAATGTTTACTGCATGGTTAAAAAACCCTACTCGTATAAATTGTGTTTTGAGAGGAAAAAACATAAGTCAAAGTCAAAGTTTATTTATAAAGCACTTTTTAAAAAACAGCAAGTGTTTATCAAAGTGCTGTACACACATAAAAGAATAAAAATATCAATGATACAAACAGTCAACAACACAAAAGAAGACAATAAGACACCATAAAGACAATAAAAGAAAGCAGCTCTCATGTAGCGTCAAATGCCAGACTATAAAAATAAGTTTTTAGGCTAGATTTAAAAACAGCAAGTGTTTGAGCCTGTCTAATGTAGAGGGGTAAACTATTCCAGAGCTTCGGGGCCGCCACTGCAAATGCTCGGTCACCCCTGCTCTTCAACTTTACCCGTGGGACAACTAAAAGCAAATGGTCAGCAAACCTTAGTGCTCTTAGCGGAGCATACAGCTTGATCAAGTCGGACAGATATTTAGGTGCTAAACCATTAAGAGAATTTAAAACAAATACCAAAATCTTAAACTGAATCCTAAAATGGACAGGTAACCAGTGAAGAGAGGCAAGAACGGGGGTGATGTGTTCCCGCTTTCGTGTACCCGTCAGCAATCGAGCTGCCGCATTCTGGACCATCTGCAGTCTGGAGAGAGAGGCCTGACTAATACCTATATAGAGGCCATTACAATAATCCAGACGAGTTGAAATAAAAATATGGACGATTCTTTGAAAGTCTTTAGAATAAAGGTACAGCATTTTCTTTACTCAAAAAGAAACAAAAACACAAAGTGAGTCTTGATCTGGTATCTTGCGTTTAGTCTTGATTCTTCCACGATATTAAAAAATGTTTACTGCATGGTTAAAAAACCCTACTCATATAAATTGTGTTTTGAGAGGAAAAAACATAAGTAAAAGTCAAAGTTTATTTATAAAGCACTTTTTAAAAAACAGCAAGTAAGACATTAAAGTATTTTTTCCACGATATTTAAAAATGTTTACTGCATGGTTAAAAAACCCTACTCGTATAAATTGTGTTTTGAGAGGAAAAAACATAAGTCAAAGTCAAAGTTTATTTATAAAGCACTTTTTAAAAAACAGCAAGTGTTTATCAAAGTGCTGTACACACATAAAAGAATAAAAATATCAATGATACAAACAGTCAACAACACAAAAGAAGACAATAAGACACCATAAAGACAATAAAAGAAAGCAGCTCTCATGTAGCATCAAAAGAGTGAAGAGAAGCGAGAACGGGGGTGATGTGTTCCCGCTTTCATGTACCCATCAGCAAGCGAGCTGCCGCATTCTGGACCATCTGCAGTCTGGAGAGAGAGGCCTGACTAATACCTATATAGAGGCCATTACAATAATCCAGACGAGTTGAAATAAAAATATGGACGATTCTTTGAAAGTCTTTAGAAGACAGGAAAGATTTCACCTT